TGTCCATCGGGTGCCCAGCCTTGGTCTAAGAAAGCGTGGACTCGTAGCTGGAGACCCAGATCCTCTGGGACGCCTCATTAAGCACTTCCGGTAGGGGCCCTCGCCGCCGGCAGCCCCGCCAAGGCCTTGGTGGCATCTGTGAGGGGAAAGAGCTGCGGTCTACCCGGGTCCTAATGTGGGGACGGTACAGAACTGGCACTCGGGTCCTAATTCTGAGGGACAAAGCTGTACCTCTCAAGGTGGACGGCCTTTCGCTTCCTCACCGGGGACGCCCTGAAGTCACTTTCTAAATGAGACTTGGCCAAGCCCTTTGGACCGTGATGCGCTCGCCATACTCCATGCCAAACGAACCGCGTTTACGGGACCGCCGGGACCACGGGGGGAAGACGGGGTGTCTTGCCCTGGGTCCCTCCGCCCTGTAGTGAACGGTCCTGGCCTGACCACGGAAGGAGAGCCTCAGTGCCCACCCGAAGACCTGGGCGTCGGAATACCCAGAGGTCGGGTGCTGGGGTCCATCCTTTCTTCCTAAGAGTTTCGATGATGCTGGGGAAGGTGACTGCGTTCTTGAAGCGGCCACTGCCTTGCAAGGTCAAGGATATTCAGTGGCTGCTGGGGTCGTGGACCCCTGCCGCCCACTCGTTGCAAACTCTTGTTAGCCCAATTGCCCTGCTGAACAACTGCCTGAATACAGGCTTCAGGCCCCCCTGGATTCCAGCCACGGCTGTTCAGGTGGGACCATGGTGCTCTTTAAGCATGACTGGGGGGAGGACACACAGTGGGGCCACCATTCTGGGGGGGGGTGGGACCTCTGGTGGGGGGTGTACAGATCACTTTCTCTTTGTGCTCAGTGCCCTACTGTCTGCCTGCTAGGGGGAGGCACCCCTCCGAGGAGGGGGTAAGGGTGCCTGGGGGGGGGGGGCAAGGCGGCCTGCAGGGGTAACAGACACCTCCAAGGTTTCCACGTGGCCCAGCTCGGCAAGGGTGGGAGCCCTCGCGCGGGAGCGGGGCGGGACCTGTGCCATCTCGCCGAGCCCGGGCCCGCCCACGTGGCACGTGGAAGTCCGCCACGCTTGCGCCGCCCGCGGTGGGGCCGAGAGCCAGGCTGGTCGCGCGACCCCGGGGGGGCGCTGTCGTGCCCGGTCCACGCTGCTGCCCCAGCTTCCTTTGGTTTGGTGAGTTGGGTTTCACCTGTGGGTGCTTGGCGTCTGCGGGCCGGGGACGGGTGCCATTGCACGTCTGCGACCTTGACCGCTACCTGCAACTTTGGAAATGAGTAGACGAGAGGCCCAGGGGGTCGCCCCCCATTGGGAGTCCCCACCCCGGTGGCGCTAGCGGAAGAGGGGGAGACCCGAACTCCGTGCAGCCCAGAGCCAGACCACGGGCCGGGGAGGGTCAAGCTGGAGAAGGAAGCGGGGGAGGGGAGCTGCTTTGTACATACTTGGGGGTTATAATTTCTCTAAATTGCAGAGGACAGGTATTGGTTTCTAAAAGGGACAGGCAGTTAGTAGTGTTACACAGTGCACGTGGGGGGCCGCTTTATGTTTTTCATGGTGTTGACATTATTCGAACTATATTGTGACTTTTCTGCTCTACACGATACCCCCTCTGGTAAGTAAGCCTTCGGGGCGCAACAGGGCTTCGTTGGAGATGGCGTTTCGAACAAGGGGTGAGTTCCTGGCTGAATGTATAGCGCGACCTTGGGATTAACTTAACGACCTAAGGCATTCTGGTGATGTCTGGGTAAAAGCAAAGACCCGTCTCAGGGGCGCCAGGTAAGTATACGATGAGTAAGCAATGACGGGGGTGCAAAGAGCCCCGAGAAGGCGCCGGTAAGACCTTCCCGGTGCACAGGCCCCTGCCGTCAAGG